AAAATTGGATATTTTCCCGCGGCACACCTGACAATGTCTCGCGGCACACCAGTGTGCCGCGGCACACCGGTTGAAAAACACTGCTCTAAGGGATATGGGCCTAAAATTTGACAGCACATCTTGATCAAGACCAGGTTTCTTGATCAAGGGTTGGACCACAGCATGTTTAAACTGTTGGGGAACTGTACCAGAAGAGAGCCTGCTGTTGATAATGCCCAAGACCGATGTACCAATACTCAGGAGAACCTCCTTAAAGAAACGCGAGGGAAGAGAGTCACAGGGGGAGCCAGATGGCTTAGTCTGGCGAACCACATCCTCTAAAAGCGTCAAGGACACAGCTTCAAAAGAATTTAACACAGCTGAACATGGACGATGGACAGAGGGGTCAAATGTGGTATTTGAAACAGGAGTCCTAGCTGTAGAAACCTTATCAATGAAAAACTGAAGGAATCTGTTGCACATCTCGGGTGAGGATTCCGAGCAAGTAGGCCGAGGGGGTTTGAGTACAGAATTGATTGGTTTTAAATAGTACGCGTGGGATGTGACGGTGAGCCTGAATAAGGTCTGAGTGAGAGCAGTGAGACGGTTAAAAATTCGTCAGTTGCAACCAGGAGCGGCAGATTTTACAGCAGCACGCGACAAGACTACGTCAAATAAAACTGCCATGTGATCAGAAATCCCATTTTCAAAGACTTCTAAGTTTGACACCAGTAGACCATAAGCAAGGACAACGTCTAAAATATGTCCTCGTTCATGTGTTGAGCTGGTCACATATTGCACAAAATTAAAAGAGCTGATAAGTCTTAAGAAGTCCTTTGCTAGTGGTTTTTCCGGGTGGCACACATGGATATTAAAATCCCCCATGAAGAGGATATGATCATATCTGAGCCTGATTTCTGCAAAAAGGGTTGAAAAGTCGCTTAAAAAGTCTTCATTGTGTTTAGGAGGACGGTAAATGACAGTGCAGAGCACCCGGAAACCCGGCCACGACGGAGTAATTCCATGCGTTCGGGAACGAGCAGCGGTCGAAATGTGTCTCAGTTCCCGTTTTAACTTCACAAGCTGACCGCTACGTTTGCCGTGGCGGCGGTGCTTCCGTGAAGGGCGCGTGTGAACACGGAAGAGATTAGTCGGTATATTTGCCAAGAACGGAGGCAACGTCTTTTCCCCACCGCCTTGCTAAAACACGGCTGAATCTCTGACTTGTTGTTGAAGCAACAACGATTGGCAATCATGAACCAATCGAGACTCAGTTAAGATGGCACCAAGCATTGCGAATAGTAAAAAAAGCCGAAGTGGCAGGACCGTCGCTGGACACACTGGCGCACTGGCCGCCATCTTGGATCACATGGATGACAACTTAGAAGTCCTGAAAGAGTTGGCTGATTTAACATTGGCAGCAGGTGTACACGCTGAAGGGAATGCTCTCCTCTGACACCTGCTGGAGACAGACAAGAAAATAATTATCGTATTTTCCACACTATAAGGCGTATCAAAAAGTCTTCCATTTTCTTGAAAGCTCACAGTGCGCCTTAAAATCCGGTTCGTCTTGTGTATGGTCATTACGGTAATATGTCGACCCCAAGATGGCTCCTTGCTGGAGACATGCTTACAATGTTATAACTTGCTGTTGCTTCAGTGAACTGTGTCGCTGCTTCATTAAATAAGTTTTTGTTGCAGCTCCGAAAAAAGAAGAGCTGTGGTGTTGTTTTTTTTTTTTTTTTAAATGCACACTTTATTAATAGTTTTCACAGTCTCAACAAATACAGGAACGTCTTTGTCCGTCTCCGTGCCTTCTCCCGTTCGACTCGAGAGGAGTTCATGAACACCTCGGAAAAACGTAAATTAACTATTCTTTCAATGAAAATTGAAATTAATCTATCAAAACAGAAAATCAAGCGAGGAAATCACAAAATAAATTCTCTAGCCCCACTACAGAATTAATTTGTGATTTCCTCGTTCGTGAATACAGTACACAACAAAGGAATAAATAACAAACACTTCTGAGACAGTCCAGTCTCCTCCAATTTAACTCAACTGTATTTATAGAGCACTTTCAAACAGCCACTGTTGTATACAAAGTGCTGTACATGGAGCAACTAACATATATACAACAATAAAGCAATAATCAGTAGCAAAGATGGTAGTAGGCACCAAACAGTAAAACTAAGAGCAAATTTACTGACATCTGATCCTTTTGTTGCAGCTAATCTCAAGGAAATGCCAAAATAAACTGTCCGGGGCCTATAGAATTTATTTTGTGCTTTTCTGTTTTGATACATTACTGTATTTTCAATTTTTGTAGTTTCATTGAAGTAAACATTCATTTACCTTTTTTGGAGGTGGTCATGCACGCCTCTCGAGTCAAACGGAAGAAGAGAAGGCACGGAGACGGCCAAGGACGTACCTGTAGTTCCATCTAGTGGATGCATTGTAGATTGCGCCTTATAGTCAAGTGCGTTCACTATATGAAAAAAATTAAAATATAGGCCATTCATTGAAGGTGCGCCTCATAATCCAGTGCGCCTTTTAGTGCGGAAAATACGGTATTTTGATTTCATTGCAGCATTATTGTTGCATGTTTTCCTAAACCGGAACTTGGCATCAGATTTCAGAGGCTCCCAAGTGACATTGAAAGATTTTTTTTTTGTCAGGCATAAATTATCACTGTGGATAGCGTTTTCTTTTTTTTTTTTTTTTTTTTTTTTTTTTAAAGGGCTGCTTTTGTGTGTGCGTGTGTGTGCGTGTGTGTGCACGCATGAGCGCGCACTTGCGTTCTTTAAAGAAATATTTTTTTCTTCCATTTCAACTGAACGACACTGAACACGCATTAAGAGGAATGAGCAGCCTATCGAGCCATTGTTTCGTGCATCAAGGATGACGAGGATCCCGGGGCTGCTCTGCTCACTACTTATTAAGAGCTCAGTACTCTGCTCATGCAGCTTGCACTCAGGTTGGTGAAGATGACCCGAGAGGATTTCCAGTGAGCATGAGCACACACTCCTTCTTTTTTTACTGATGAGTGGTCGTCTTCAGCGCATTTAGACGTTTGCCACCCCCCCAATCCAGTTTCTCAACAGAAGCAGCTACGGCGGACACCTGTCTGTCGCGTTGCAGGTATGCAGCTCGGATCTAGCTGAAAGAACAACATTGTGAGCACAAAATGTAGGATTTCACAAAGGATCTTCACACATGCGTTGCTGGGCTGCAAAAGTGATAGAGCGTTTGCGGTCATGGAGAACGTTTTCCCCCATATTTTTTAAAAGCAACCCCCGCTGTTTCTCGCAGGCTTCAACGATGAGAGGACGATGGCGCTCTTACTTTATGACTGTCTTGGTCTACGTGATCGCATTGCACACACGGTAAGTTCTGTCTCGTTTGTTTCAAGGCTGGATTGATGTCGGGGGAAACGTGCGAGACACTTTCTGTTTTTGCAGCGAAGGCAGGAGGTGCGTCAACAACTTTATTTCACAGTGTGGTGTTCGCGCTCATTTGTAAAATAGCTCAAAGTAGGTCATGCCACAGTCCAGGAAATCAAGCACCTTTCGTGGTACAACTGTCATTATTGAGGTGGTGCCATTAAGGGACTAGTTTGATACCCTCCACAATTATTGTTTGGGAACTACTGTGTGGAACCTGGAAAAGGTTCACACTGAAAGGTGCTCAGTTGAAATGTGTTACGCACAGTTATGTTTCAACTGCCGTATAGCCTTTTTTTTCCACCTAAGGAAAAGAAAATGAGTGAATTATTCAGAAATATAAAATAATACAATGTAGTCAACCAAGTATAGAACGTCTCAGTTTGAAAATAGAAATAATCTGAAGCATTGACTTGTTTGGAACACAATTTTGGCCGAGAATAGTCGTGATGGTGGCCCTGGGTACAGCAGCCATGCATAGAAATGTTGTTGTTCATGGTTGGTGCGGGCGGTTGCCAAGCTGTGACACCCGGGACCGGCCTGGAATTACACCGGCTCTGCAGGCAAATTAACATATTTTCCCGAAATTCCCGATGGCCACCCTGCCCCTGAGCTGGTATGTTAAAACTAACTCGAGTGAAAAATGATGGCATAATGTGAAGTGATGATGAAGTCATGCTTTTGCATCCCTTTTTTACACATGCGCCTTCTTGATGTGCAGCAGCTCAAATTCTCACTCATTCAAATAAGTGGAACCACATCACCCCAAATTTAGCATCACCTAATTGGCGGAGTATCCCGCGGTCAGTTTTAGAAGTGGTTTTAAGATTCCACTGATTACTTTTAAAGCACATATGGGACAGGCTCTGAGCTACTTATTTGAACTTTTAACCACTTATGAGCCGGTCTGAGGTCTCAGATCCTCGGGTGAAGGCCTTCTTGTTGTTATGTTTGTATGATTAAAGTTGTTAGCATTTTATTGTCTGGGATTTGTGTTACAGTTGGTCTGGCAAAGCACAGTACACCTGTTACATGGTGAACCTGAAGTCTTACAGCTTTCAATTAAACTCTCCCTCATGTAACTCCCTGTGTATTCATCTTGGCATCACATGTGCTTCTTTTCTTGAACACTCCCTCACACATACACTGCTTCTACTACCTTTATGGCTAATTTTGGCTTATCTGTGATGTTCTTTCGAATATGACGAAAAAATGTTAATGATAGGTCCAAAGCTGATTCCAATGCAACACGCAAAGACATCACAACGTTCACTAAGATCCTGGACAGTCTTCTAGATGGCTATGACAACAGGCTGAGACCTGGCTTGGGTGGTAAGATTTCATGCTTTGTGTTAAATTTGTGTTAAGTATTTACTATAAACGGGGTAATGACAATGAAGTGGTGGTAATCAGAGTCTTTATCCAGTACGAAAAATAGTCTCTCTCTCTTTTTCTCTCTCTCTCTCTCTCTCTCGCTCCCCCTCCTTCTGGTTTGAGACCAGCAGATACAGTGGTACCTCAATTTACGAAATTAATAGGTTCAGGACGAAATGTCTTAAGGAGAAGAGTTTGTAAGTAGAGGCGCATTTTCCATGTAAAATGCCCTAATTCATTCCAAGCCCCCCAAAGTTCAGACATAAATATTTCCTAAAGCATAAAAATTTATCAAAATATGTAACAAATACATGTTACAATTAGATTATTGCACAATAAATGAGGGTTGTGAATAATGTAGAAAACAAAGAGTAAAGAATAAAAAAGATGGTCATTTAACTTTTAACTGCGTCCTCGTCATTTTTTGCCCTCTTTAGTCCATGTTCTCTCTCAGAAGTGGTTTTTGCCTGGCGTTTTGTAAAGAACTGATCCAAGGACCTTTGTTGGCTTTTAACAGTACTTCAAAAATGTCCAAGCCAAACATCAGCATGGAGAACACTTTTTCTGGGTGATCGGAAAGCCTTATGGCCGGAGAGTCGAATGACGAGGACGCTGCATAGACACTCTTATTTATCTATCTACACACATAGACACATATGGTAAAGGTCCCTCTTAGCCAATGGGATGCCAGGATCATGCTAGATAGTAGCCAATGGCAGAGCAGCTATAAGTATGTTGCATTCAGGAAACTCTAAGCTGCGATTAGCAGCCCATACTGTATTTTTACCTTTCCTATCTTGAGATTTCTTTCATAACAGGAGGCAATATTTTCCTGTTGAGGTATTTTGTAACTAGAAAATCTCGTATGAAGAGACGTTCTTAAGTAGAGGTACAACTGTATGTGTTATACCTGGCACTTTATATTACCCATTACATACAAAGAATTCTCAGTATATTTGTTCCAAAATGAATTAATTAAATAATGCAGTTACATAATTTTGAATTGGTCATTTTATAAGTTGCTCAGATGCTGACAATGTGTGAACACACGTGCTGTCGATATTAGATTTGTACTGCAAATTATGCACCAGTTGAATTTCTGGGAATTTTTTTACTCACCTTTGCCCCGCAGGATACTATACTAAAATAATGTTGAGCTGGACCTGAATGTACGCATTAAAATCCAGTGGTGGGCACGTCAGTCTGTCAGTCATCATGCCATCATTATTTTAGGCCCACTTGGGACCAATCTGTTCGTTGTCAGCGGCAGCCAGTTGGCGTCAAAAAGGTACTTACCACGTTACATGCAGGCATAGCATAAGCAGATGCGCAGCGAAATAAATCAGTCTATCATCATCTGAACCGCTTTATCCTCACGAGGGTCGCGGGCGTGCTTGGAGCCTACCTCAGTTCGGGGTACACCCTCATCAACCAATTGCAGGGCATGCAGACAAAGAACAATTTTCAATCACAATCACACTTTGGGACAATTTTGAGTGATCAATTAACCTACCATGTAGATTTTTTAAATGTAGGAGTAAACCGGAGTATCCCGCGAAAATCACACACGGAGAATATGCAAACTCCACACAGGAAGGCTCAGGCCCTTCATTGAACCCTGCACCTCTGCACGATGGAGCGGAAGTGATAACCAGTTGACCACCATTCCGCCTTCATCCAAAAAAAAAACCACACACACACACACACACACACACACACACACACACACACACACACACACACACACACCGTTATTGCTGTCTGTGTGACCAAAAGGTATACAACAGTTTTTTTGTTGGTGTTTTTGAAACTTTATTATTTGTGCTGCGCCTGTGTGACGTGGTACTGGTAAAATACCTTCTCGACCCCGCTTGGCTGTCGCCGACAACTCGGACGGACTCGGCCAGCTTGAAATAATAATGGCATGATCACTGGAAAAACAATAGCACATCAGTCTATCTTAAAAGCAATTACGTAAAGGATACAAACAAAAGTTTCTTTGGACTATTTATTTTGTTTGGATGCAGGCAGCCAGATGCAAAGGATTCCCTTCTTGTGCAGAGGGAGATTAACAAGGTTTCCACTCTGTTCTTGAAATTATTTTCCAGGGCTTTTCCAGGACTCTTTCGTCTGTTTGTCATTGAGTCAAGTTATCACAACATACACACACAAAAAAAAAATCCATCCCAAGCTACAATTGTACCTTACATTTTGGGCACTTAACCAGATTGCTTCAGTATTACCAAAAACCACACTAAACTGGCTCAAAAATCTGAATAGCTCTCTCACACCCGCAAATCGATTCTCATCGTTCACCCCAAAAGAACTGTTCAAAGAACATCATCTCAGAGCACATGGGCAAAAGTTACAGCATGCCCAGCACAGCTCTCTGTCGCTTAACAGAAGACTCAGGGGAGGCGGGGAGAAAATCCTCAAACTCAATATACAGTGCTCCAGCAACACTCTTCCACTAAAAGTCACCATTGGGAGTTATTCAAAGCAGGCCGTGAGTTGCTGGGTTCCTTGTGGAAAAGTGAGACTTGGAGTGATGAGATGAACGAGGCTGGGATAGGGCCTCAGCAGCAAATCCTCTGGAGGCACAGGTGATAAGGAGTAAAACATCAAAAGGGGGAAAACACCCAGAAACACCTAAATACACACTGTTGAGTAGGCTGAAGTATCACTATAAAGCAGGGATAATCTGGCACCTGCGTGCAGGTCATACTGGCTACTAAGACGAGTTTAAAAATGGTTTACAGGTAAGAGTGAGCGTCCTCCAGAAAGTGCCCCTCCCAGCCTGAAACTGAAAAAAAAAAACAAGAACAAGCGAAATGGAACAGGAACTAGGCCCACCAAAATAAAGCACAACACCACAGTCCCCCATCCTCTGACCAGGCTCACCAGGATTTGCCCCGTAGAAATCCTGGAGAAGTGATGGGTTCAGGATGAAACAATGGGAGATCCATGAATGCTCCTCAGGCTGGAACCTACCCAATCCACTGGAAACCCCAACCACGGCGGCCTTTGATATCCAGTGTTCCGGAAACAGTGAAAGCAGGATGGCCATTGATGATGCAAGGGGTAGAGGGGGAGTGGCCAGAGAGCTGAAGTCACTGGAGCAAACCGCCTTGAAGAGGGACAAATGAAAGGCTGGGTGGATGTTCAGAGAAGCAGGCAGGTTTAAATGGACGGAGGAAGGGTGAATAATCTTTGAGATTGTGAAGGGCCCCACAAACCGTGGGGCAAACTTTACGTGAGTCAATCTGTAGAGCAGGCATGTCCAGCTCCAGGCCTGGAGGGCCACCGTCCTGCCTGTTTTCCAGCTCTCCCAGCTGCAACACACCTGATTCAGATGATCAGCTCATCAGCCAGCTCTGAAGCAGCATTAGAACGTTCCTGATTATTTGAATCAGGTGTGTTGCTCTTGGGAGAGCAGGAAAAAAGCCAGGACAGTGGCCCTCGAGGACCTACTTTAGACACCCCTGCCGTAGAGGAAGGTCACAAGACGACAAACGCACCACCTTCTCTCCGACCTGATACTCTGGGGCTGAGGATAGGTGACTGGCGGCGGAGCGCTTGTTACTTTTGGCAGTGCGATTGACGGAAGCCCTGACGATCCTCCATATCTTCCAAATTGTGCAGAGATGATCCTAAACAGCAGGGACTGCCACTTACTGGTCAGGGAACAAGGGAGGTTGGAAATTAGGTGAGGGAGTTGTGGGCATATCCTACCCAAGGGAGCGGCAACGCAGCGCAAAGCAGCCTCCAAATCCTTGTTAGCCTGTTCTGTTTGGCCATTGGTTTGGGAATGGCAGCCAGAGGATACACTTGCTCGTGCACCCACAGCCTTCAAAAACACCGTCCAGACTTGGGAGGAGAATTTTGGGCAAGGATGACCCGGTAGTCCAGTGGTTTGCACGTTGACCTCACAGTGCAGAGATGCAGGGTCCGATTCCAGCTCCGGCCTTCCTGTGTGGAGTTTGCATGTTCTTCCCGTGCCTGCGTGGGTTTTCTCCGGGTACTCTGGTTTCCTCCCACATTTCAAAAACATGCATGGCAGGCTGATTGAACACTCTAAATTGTCCTTAGGTGTGAGTGTGAGTGCGGATGGTTGTTCGTCTCTGTGTGCCCTGCGATCAGTCCAGAGTTTCTCAAGGCTCTGGATGTTGTGGGGCTGTTCTGATTGACAAGCCTCTGCAACATCGCGTGGTCATCGAGGAGAGTGCCTCTGGATTGGCAGACCGGGGTGGTGGTCCCCCTTTTTAAAAAGGGGGCCTGGAGGGTGTGTTCCGACTACAGAGGGACCATACTCCTCAGCCTCCATGGTCAGGTCTATTCATAGGTGCTGGAGAGGAGGGTCCGTCGGGAAGTCGAGCCTCAGATTGAGGAGGAGCAGTGTGGTGTTCGTCCCGGCCGTGGAACAGTGGACCAGCTCTACACTCTTAGCAGGGTCCTCGAGGGTACATGGGAACTCGCCCAACCAGTCTGCATGTGCTTTGTGGACTTGGAGAAGGCGTTCGACCATGTCCCTCGGGGAGTTCTTTGGAGGGTGCTTCGGGAGAATATACGGACTAAACCCCCTCATACGGGCTGTTCGGTCCCTATAGCACCAATGTCAGAGTTTGGTTTTCATTGCCGGCAATAAGTCGAAATCGTTTCCAGTGAGGGTTGGACTCCGCCAAGGCTGCCCTTTGTCGCCGATTCTGTTCATAACCTTTATGGACAGAATTTCTTGGCGCAGCCAAAGCGCTGAGGGAGTCCATTTTGGTGGCCTCAGTATTTCATCTCTGCTTTTTGCGGATGATGTGGTACTGTTGGCTCCTTCAAGCAGGGCTCTCCAACTCTCGTTTCGCAGCTGAGTGTGAAGCGGTTGGGATGAAAATCAGCACCTCCAAATCTGAAACAATGGTCCTCAGTCGGAAAAGGGTGGAGTGCCCTCTCCGAGTCGGGGAGGAGATCTTGCCCCAAGTGGAGGAGTTTAAGTATCTTGGGGTCTTCTTCACTAGTGAAGGCAGGAGGGAGCAAGAGATACGACAGACGGATCGGTGCAGCGTCTGCTGTGCTGCGGACTTTGTATACGTGTGTCGTGGTAAAGAAGGAGCTGAGCCAAAGGGCAAAGCTCTCAATTTACCAGTCGATCTACGTTCCAACCCTCTTCTATGGTCACGAGCTATGGGTCGTGTTCGAAAGAACGAGATCCCAGATTCAAGTGGCCGAAATGTGCTTTCTCCGCAGGGTGTCTGGGCTCTCCCTTAGAGATAAGGTGAGAAGCTTGGTCATCTGGGAGGAGCTCAGAGTTGAGCCACTTCTCCTCCACATCGAGAGGAGCCAGATGAGGTGGCTCAGGCATCTAATTACGAAGCCTCCTGAACGCCTCCCTGGTGAGGTGTTCCGGGCATGTCCCACCGGCAGGAGGCCCCGGGGACGACCCAGGACACGCTGGAGAGACTATGTCACCCAGTTGGCCTGGGAACAGCTCGGGATCCCCTGGGAAGAGCGAAAGGAAGTGGCTGGTGAGAGGGAAGTCTGGGCTTCCCTGCTAAAGCTGCTGCCCCCGCGACCCAACCCCGGATAAGCAGTAGAAGATGGATGGATGGATCAACCTCTTTGGTCCATATTGTCAGAAAGTTCAGAGAATGTAGAGAAATCACTGTATGTTACAACTGGGCACTACATCTTTAAGTGCAGCTTAAAACTCCTATGCAAGCAAGACATTTATCAATAACACCCAGAAAGGCCCCCTGCTTTTCTGGGCCTGAGCTCATCTAAGATGGACTGATGCAAAGTGGAAATGTGTTCTGTGGTCTGACAAGTCCACATTTGAAATTGCTTTGGGAAATTGGGGATGTCGTGTACTTTGGGCCAAAGATGAAAAGAACCATGTGGACTGTTATGGACGCAAAGTTAAAAAGTCAGCATCTGTCATGGTATTGGGCTGTGTTAGTGCCAATGGCATGGCTAACTTACACATCTGTGAGGCACCAGCAGGGATGTGTCCAAGGACCGGCAACCCGAGGCCAAGGCCAAGGCCAAGGACTTGCCTCCGAGGCCAAGGCCAAGGCCAAGGACTTGGAAAATTTACCGAGGCAAGGCCAAGGCCAAGGACTTGAAAAATTTTCCGAGGCCAAGGCCAAGGACCAAGGACTTGCCTCCAAGGCCAAGGCCAAGGCCCAAGGACTGATTTTGAAATTGAGGCCTAGCCGAGGACATGTATAAAACAATGTTATCATACCACTTGGCAGGTGTTCATGATTTGCAACACACCTCCATCATAACCCTTTGCACTCCCTAACGCTTGAATGAAGTGATTTTATTCAAAGAGTAGAACAGTCAGGGTACGTGTTATTTATACTGAGAAAAAGAAATAAAATCATATGATATACATTTATGAATTAATGTTTTAGTGCAGTAGTTTCTTAATATGAAGTAAATCAACACTCAACAGGCATGACATGGCACGGAACACAAGTTGAGAAATAACTTTGCATAGAAGTCAATCACTGACTGCAGAAAAAGCGGTAATCTCTCAGTGATCATTTTACAGTTTACCTGCAGCGAGTCCAAGGGACTCACTGATCAGAAAAGTATGAGTCCCATTATGCATTGAGAGAGTCCCAAATTTCAAATTCCGAAATGGTCTACTTATTCAATTGCATATGATA